TAAAGGAAAGTGGCTAGAGAAGTAAAATTTTAGAACACTTTGTGTTCTTTTCATCTGGTGTCTTTCATATTATTTCCTTTTTATTTTACATTTTTTAAAGAATTATTTAACTTTATTTACTTATTTTTAAAAATTTGACCAGAGAGAGACAGAAGGAGAGAAAGTAAGAAAGCAAGCTGCCAGGTCCAGGACTTGAACCACAATCGCCATGTGGCAGTTCAGTATCCTCAACCACCACCAGTCATCTGCTGGACCCACAATTTTCTTTTTAAATGTCTTTACTTAGGGGAACCAGCAGTTAGCGTAATGGCTATGTCGCTGGATTCCCACGTAGTCGACCGCGGTTCGTGCCCCGGACCCGGTGGCTTAAAACTCACGCCGGGCGCGTGTGCGTGCGTGCCCAAGATCCCGAGAGGAGAATGGAGGAGAAGGGATTGCGGTGTGACCATCCCCCCTGGGGGGTGATTTCTCGCTTTCTGTCTCTATGTCTCCCTCTGTCTGTCTGGCGAGCGCACGCGCCCTACAGTGAAAATCTCTCCAAAAAAAAAAAAAATGTCTTTACTTAGTTTTCTAAGATAACAGTTATTCAGAGTGAGTTCTCTTGTGCTCCAATTGTCAATGGGAGGATCCAGATGTAAAAATTGCCAGTGTTAGAAGTTAGGCAATACTTAGGTGTGTTGTTTTGGAGAGACTTTTCCAAGGCATAAGATAACTTATTCAGAAGATCTCAGGATGTGCCTAGGTTGGGTGATGTCATTAAGTCTCCACACCTTCAGGTTGTTTCTCTGATCTCCAGGGTATGATTGTGAAGATCTTCAACACGGGGCAATGGAGAAAGCTCCAGCCATGAAATAAAAGATGCTGATTTTGGCCCCACTGCTGGCCACTGAAGGAGCTCAGAACAAGATTTGAGACCTCTCTAGACCTCAGTTTCTTCACTTAGAAAATAAGGGTTTGGTCAGATTCTCTTCAATTTTTTGCCCAATTCTAACAATTCTATAACCTCTTATAAATTGTGTATGTGAGTGTGTGTGATTTGTGGTCTGTGCATTATTACAACCTTTTATAGTTATGACATTAATGACAATGTCTGACAATTTCTAACATTCTGAAACAAACAGCTTCTTGGTTGTGGTTAGTGTTCCATGACGTTGTGAAAAGAATATAGGCTTTAAAAACAGAGTCCTGGGTCCAAGTCCCTCCACTGCTATGTCTTAACTGCATTGTTTTGAATGCATCACTTTTAATTTCAAAGCTTCATTTGCCTCCTTCATAAACTGGACATTCTGATATCATTGGTATACGTTTTTTGTGGTGATACGTGACTGGCACAGGTGTTGGCACATACAAAAATACTTTGGAAAGCCATGAAAAATATAATCAAAGTATGAATTTATTTTGCTGCAAAAATTGTTTTAAAGTTCATGCATAGATTTTTTTCATACTACATATTTTCCATGAACTTGTTGAAGACTTGCTCAGAGTGCATGTTTAATAAATGGTAACTCTTATATTATGATGTGTATAGGCTTAATAAAATACTTGAGTCTATTCGTCAAATGACTAGTAGATGAATAGTACTATCACTTCTTTTATTATTCTCCAAAAGAATATGGTAATAACTTCTTGATGTTGTAGAAAAACATATGCAAACTCTATAAGCTCCATTTTTTTATCTATAAAATGAAGGGTGCACCTTGATGATTTTTATGACCTTTCTATGCATATGTATTTTTTTTGTCTAGCTCATAAACTATATCTGAATAGAATCCCAAGGTAATTTAAAATGTAAATTCCAAAAGGGAGTTCATTTTTTTCTTTAAAAAATTATTTTATTTAACTTTGTTTATTTATTTATTTTACTATGACCAGAGGTGGACAGAGTGAGAGTGAGAAGAGAGAAAAAGAGAGAGAGCAAGTCGCCAGGTCTGGGACTCGAACTGCAGTCAGTCATGTGTAAGTCCAGTACCCTGAACCACCACAACACCTGCCGATCCTCAAAAGGGATTTTTAAGTAATAGCATCATTATTACAACAAATTCAAGAATGACTATTGAACAGGATAATATTTATTTAAATGTGTAAAGGTTATTTTAATAATATGTATTGAATGGGAACCAGCAGTTAGCGTAATGGCTATGTCGCTGGACTCCCACGTAGTCGACCGTGGTTCGCGTCCCAGACCTAGTGGCTTAAAACTCACGCTGGGTGCATGTGCATGCATGCCCAAGATCCCATGAGGAGAATGGAGGAGAAGGGATTGCGGCGTGGCCATCCCCCCGGGGGGTGAGTTCTCGCTTTTTATCTCTATGTCTGTCTCTGTCTGTCTGGCGAGTGCACGCGCCCTATAGTGAAAATCTCTCAAAAAAAAAATATGTATAGAATGATTACCTTGGCACACTTCAGTATGTTGGTTAAATTTTGTAGCCACTCCTTAGACATGTGGGAAGAACAGGAAAAGATGAGAGACATTATGAGGTAGAAAGTTAGGACAAGAGCATGATAATCAGGCAAGGTTGGCCTTGTCTTTTCCCCAACTTGCTTGCATAGAGTGCCTTACTTTACACAATAAATATATTCCTGAAAGTAGCTTAGAAACATTTATAAATTGAATAATGTCTTCAATGTAACATAGACATGTTCTATTGATAACACTACCATGGCAAAACATTTTGTAAAAAAAAAAAAAAATGGATGCTTTTCTCTAATTCTAAATCTACATTTGATTTGCTTAAGGGAAAGTTCAACTCTAGTTCTTTTCCTGGAGAGGAAAAGTGATGTCAAGCCACCCCAATGAGAGCCTGGTGTGGGAACAGCTTGTCTGGCCTTCTGGGCTCTCTGGGGGAAAGTAGACAGAGATGAGGAACAGACACGTATTCCAGAACTGGACTTTGAATGGGCCTTTGGCCAAACTTGGCCCAATTTCTCAACTAAGAGAAAGCACTGACTCAAGTTGAATGCTGACTCAAAGCCAACTTACTTTGGACTTGTTGTCCTCTGCCAGGCAAGCCAGAACACTCTCCCCAAGGTAATTTCATCCAGAAGAAGGAAATCCCAGGAGAGATGGTTTTGATTTTTACCATTTCTTCTACAGAATTCCAGCTTTTGGGCAGCTCTCAAGGTTGGGGTCAAGGGGAGGAAGGGGAGGAGAAGACTGGCAAGTGGAAGGACAGGCAATGGGGGCCACCCATGAAGACACAGCCTTAGAGAAAGCCAGAAAAAGCCAGGAGGGAGCCATCGAGGAAGATGAGAACAATCTGAATAAACGTGGGGACAAAGAGAAAGAAAAGGAAGGAATTCAGGGAAATCTCATGAACAAGATGAAAAAAAATATAGAAATAGGCAAAAATGGAAAGTGAGCTGGAAAGAGACATAGAGAAGCTTGGATTAAGCTCAGAACTCTTCTAGGTCTGACCTGGACCCAAAATTAAAACTGTCTTGATTTAGAAAAATGTCCTGTGATCCATTCTTCAATACAAAACTTCATGTGTGGAAATTTCCTTTCATTGCTTCTTCTTTACTAACTCCTGGAATTACTAGGAATTTGGACATGATAGCTCCTTTTCCAGAAAGATTTATGGTAGGATTTTTTTTTCCAGAAAGATTCATGGTAGGATTTCTTCCTCTGCAGAAACTGTAGATGCAGGAGCAGTTATACCAGGAATGGCCTGTGAAAATGTTATTGGAGGTTTAAGAGAAAGCTGGGGAGGAGGAATTAATATTCAAAATCAGGCTTGTGTTCAATTTTGAAGTCGCTGCTTTAGTTTCAAAGTAATAGAACTATGTAACTGGGATATCTAATGTGCCCTGTTCCGGGGAGGCCACAAATATATAGAACTCATAGATAAGTCAAATGTTCACTAGTACAGTTATTAAAGCAGCTATGAGAATAAGATCATAGGAATTTCAGTTCTTTCACAGTACATGTCTTCCTGAAAGTAGACTCATCAGGTAAAAGAAACAAAGAGGACCAGAATCAAATGGTTTAAGTAACCCATACATTATGTAAACAACCTTTGGGAGATAACCAAGGGTTAAGAGTCAACATGTTTAACTGCTAAGTCACAAGATGACGGATCAGATTTGACCCTGGACATAAACAGCCCTAGAGATAACACTCTCATTGCAGCTGATTCTTCTTCATTGAACTGTTTGCACACTTGCAATTATGTACCTAATTATTTACTTAATATGTTTTCCCCTCCAGACTATAAGCTTGTTGAAAGGTTTCCCTAACATGTTGTAGGTGCTCAATAAATCTCTGTTATCTGGCTGCAAATACCACACCAGTGAGCCATATAGGAAACACCTCATCTCATTGTATTGTGGCTAATTTAAAAGAAGTGGCACATAGGAGTAGAAAAGCTCTTGATACCATGATAGCAGCTCTGTTCCTTTCCCAGCTCTGCTCTTAACTGGCTGGCTATGTGACTTGGATAAGACACTTCCCCTCTCTTCCTCTGAGTACTTTGCTATGAATTAAAAGAACTGGATTTGATGAACTCTGAGTCAGTTTCAACTCTAATACTTAGTGATTCATTGTGCCCATAAAGTAGAAAGGGGAGGTTTATTTGTGACCAGAACAAATTCTCAGAAGCTGATAAAAACTACCAAATATCACTTAGAGGAAAAGTGGGAACAACACACTTGGTTTACACAATGGAAGTGTTTGTTTTGTTTTTTCTTTTCTTTTCCTTTTCTTTGTCTTTTTTCTTTCTTTCCTTTTTTTTTTTTTTTTTTTTTTTTTTGTGAGAGAGGAAGGTCATGGAATATGATTACTTAATTTGCCACTGAGCTTCCTGGGTAGCTCTGGCCAAGCTTAAGATACCTATCACTCTTGTTCAAGGTCCATTTCCTACTGACTTGTCATACTGTTGAATTATTGTTGAGTTGAAGTCCAAAAGGGGAAATATTTTGCAATCTAGAGTTGGACCCTGGAGCTATACAACCATGATTACTGGTGAGATTTTTCCAGAAGCACTCAGTGCATTAGAGTCCTATCATGGAAACACGTACTTCTCTGTGCTTTTGTGAACTTGCGCTGCTAGTGGTGTTGAGAGTCCATGAACTGGGAAAATGTTGGGCAAGTAAAAAGGTCTCGTTTTGCCTTTTCTTGAATCACTTCTTTTTAAAAATATATATGTATAAAATAAGCTTTTATTTTTATTTTATTATAAAAATGGCATTCATTTCTTTTTCAAAATAAATTGCATTGTGTATTTTTAAGGTATACAACATAGTCTTATGAAATACACATGGAAAGTTAAATGGTTACTATCATCTCACATATTTACCCATTTTTTGTTTTGTTCCTATGGTCAGAGCAGCTATAATCTACTTATTTAGTAGGAAGCCCAAACTCAGTACTATATTATTAATTATAGTTCTCATGATATACATTAGATCCCTAACGTACCTGCTATTTGTAGTCTCTGACCTAAAACTCCCCATTTCCTCCACACATTCCACCCTGGGAACCATTGCTTTATTCTTTAACTTGGATGTTTGACTCTTTTGCTGTTTAGATTCCACTTATCTGTGAGATCACGCAATATTTTTCTTTCTGTGTCTGGCTTATTTTATTTAGCAGTGTCCTCTAAGTCCATCTGTGTTGTGGCAAGTTAAAGGATCTCTATTTGTTTCTTTTCTTTTTTAATTGCTAGAAGTTATGAGAGAGAAAGAGAGAAAGAGAGACTCCTTAATGGGATATGGTAATGCTGCAATCCTTTTCCACCATTTCTCTATCCTGTCAGAATCCTGGGCACATATACACCACATTACCAGTATATTTTTCAAGCTGCCCAGGCAGGATTCAAACTGCAGTTGGCCATGTAGGATATGTTTTAATGTATGGCACTTAACCACTGTGCCAAGGGGCTGGCACTGCCTTCCTTTTTAAGGCTGAATGATTTTCTATTTTGTGTATGTGTATGAATTCCTTTATCCATTTGTCCATAATTGGACACTTCGTTTGTTTCCTACATTTTGGCTATTGTGAATAATGCTGCAGTGAACATGGAAGTGCAGATATTAATGGACCATTAGCCAGTCTTGTTTTTGTTGTTGTTATTGTTTTTGCATGCTGGAGTGTGTGTGTGTGTGTGTGTGTGTGTGTGTGTGTGTTTGTATGTGTACCTGAGATTCCAAGTTCTTTTTTTTGGAGAGGTTTTCGCTATAGGGCGCGTGCGCTCGCTAGACAGAGAGAGACATAGAGACAGAAAGCGAGAAAGCACCCCCCAGAGAGGAAGGTCACGCCGCAATTCCTTCTCCTCCATTCTCCTCTCAGGATCTTGGGCACGCATGCACAAGTGCCCAGCGTGAGTTTTAAGCCACCGGGTCCAGGACTCGAACCGCAGTCAACTATGTGGGAGTCCAGCGACACAACCATTACTCTAACTGCTTGTTCCTGAGATTCCAAGTTCTTATGAACATGAATTCATAAGATTTTCTTTAAAACAGAGGGGTTCTGAGCCTTAAGGATCCAAGTGGGAGGAGAAAATGAGCAAGAAACTGATGGGGCTCTAGAGGCTCTAGGTTCCCATAACCTAAGCTTTACCTTTGACTTTCATACATGTTGAGTCTACATAAAATTTTATCGAAGAATGTATTTTGCTACTTGTAAAGAGTTTGAAAACACAGGATTAGATTTTTTTTTTTTTTCAATTTGCTGTAGGGCACATGTGCTCTCCTAAGAGAGAGAGAGAGAGAGAGAGAGAGAGAGAGAGAGAGACAGTACCTTTCAAAGAGTGATGGCCAGACCTTTCTCCTTCATTCTCCTCTTGATATTTTGAGCACACACACGTGCCCAGCAAGTTTCTCAAGCTTTTCTCCTTCATTCTCCTCTTGATATTTTGAGCACACACACATGCCCAGCAAGTTTCTCAAGCTGCTGGGTCTAGGACTTAAACTGCAAAGTCAGCCATGTGGAATGCAGTTGCCTTAATCACGGTGCCACCAGTTGACCCAGGATTAGATCATTTCTAAACAGTCTCAGTTCTTAAGAAAAGTTTTTAGAGTTCATACTATATTAACTTTGAAGCTTAGGTACACACACATAGACACACACACACACCTTCCACGATGGAAAATACAACAAAACAGAACACCCAAGACTGGTTAACGGTCCACAGGTCATGTTGAAAAAAGAATTCTGATGTTCTTTTCTTTGGATGCTCTGGGTCCTACTGGGAACTATAGAAACACTGTATTTGACTTAGTCTCCAGCTGAAAACAGGGCCAATCAGAGCTAAAAGGAATCTTAAAGCCAACTGATTGACATCATACCTCCCATTAACTTCATACAAGAAATGTCTAAGGCCTAGAAAGGGGAGTGACTTGTCCAATGTTATATAACCAGTTGGTAGCAAACTCACCATAAGAGGCCAGTCCACCTCAGATTCCTTCCTACTATCTGATATTCTTTTTTTTTAATAATAATTCTTTTATTTGACTTAATTTTTTAATTTATTTTTAATTTGACTAGAGAGGGACAGAGTGAGTGAGAGAAAGAGATAGTGAGAACATAAGCCACTAGGTCTGGGACTTGAACCACAGACAGCCATGTGGGAGTTCACCACCCTTAACCACCATACCACCTGCTGGCCCCTCACCTGATACTCTTGAAAAATGATGAATGGAGTGGCTGGATAGCCTATATTAATAGATCCAAAAATAAAAATATTTCCCATCGATTGCTATGATATTGGTGGATCTTTAGAACTATCATATCCCTCAAAAAAGAAAAGAAAAAAAGCATACATATACACAGGCACTTTGCCAAAAGGATAAGGGGTAATGAAAAATCCTTGGAGAGTGGATACTTCAAAGCTTAAGTGAGTTTATCTGAAGAAGACTTTGAATAGAGTGCAATGTTTTATGGGTTCTCCTAATCCCCAGTAAGTGTGCCTTGCTGAATAAGCAGAAACATTTTTAATGTCTGCTAGAGAGGCATAGACACAAGTCTATAACTATGTATTAGTACTGGGTTTCCTCAGACCTTTAGTATCCTGCATTCCAAGCCTGGATGCAGAATATGTATCTATGCCACTTCCATGTTAATGAATTTAGAGACCAAGGCTCTTTCTTCTGGTTCTTTCTGGTCAGTCCTAATAAGCACTGTTTACTCAGTCCTAGCAACCACTATTTCTACCACTACTGATTATCTCTACCTTTACCTCCACCACTAAGAATGTCCCTTTTGCTCATTTTAGTTTTATGATCTCTGGGAGATGTATCATATGTAAATTCTGAACCCTTTCTTCAGGTGTGAAGAGGTTGGTGTGCCAGTAATGAAGATGTGGTCAGCATAGTTTACAAAGCTTGAGCCAGGAAGGGCACGTCTGGGCAAGTCCAGGGACATCAGGTTTTGGTGTGGGAGACTAGAGGTCTAGAGAAGGAAAAGGACTAATACCCTTTGGTTCAAAATTCAGAGAATGAGACTAAGGCCAAGCAAGCATCAGAGGGCTGAGGGGCTGTTAGGACAACAAAGCCAGAGTTGCCTCAGGGCAGGAAACTCTCCCAGCTATGCTCTCTTGCTTTCCCTTCATCTCCTCCTGGGGCCTCTGGACAATTCTATGTCAGACAGCAACTTCAATAGGGTTGGAATTTTAAGAATTTATCCAGTAATTTGGAGCTTACTGTCTGTGGGTAGAATGAGCAAAATGGGACATTTTCAGAGCAAGGCAAGATTTAAATTATAGACTATAAATTTAAGAACTATGATTTCCTGAAGTTTCTTTCTGGGCTCACACTGGTTGCCTTAAACTTGTCTTCCCTTTTGCAGTAGCTCCAACTGAAAGAGTTCATGTTGTGTCTTATGTCTCATCTCCCTCTTGATAATTAAAACTTTTTTTAGGAGATGGAGATTTAATTGTTACTTGACTGTTGTGCAGATTTATGTGACATACCAAGACAAGTCTAGCATGTCTTAAGAAAACTCACCAAAGAACACAGGACAAGAAAAGTTACCAAATATAGAGAAGGAAGAAAAGCCAATACCTTCTGCATCAAAAGAAACAAAATAGGAATTGGGAAGACTCAGTGTTAGGATGGGCATGATCTCTTCCAAGATTAAATCTACAGATCAGAGATGAATGGTGGGTTCAAAATTCAGGGAGAAGATGGCTACATTTTTAAAAAGAATAACTGCCCAAAGCTATTAATATAGGATACCTGATTGATACATAAATTTAAAAAGGGAAATCAGAAAAATGACAACACACTTCTACTCAAAATGAAAATTACTTGTGTCCTTCCTGACTTCTTCTAACTTCAGGACTGTTAAGCTTTTATACCCTAAAATGGGATGGAAGAAAAATAGCTATGATTCATTCCATGATGAAAGCCTAAAGATTTTCAAGACAAGAAGAGGCTGTGGGAAGTCCATAGCCCAGGAATATTCAGTAGACAAAGGTGTTAAGAGTGAGAGGAGAGGCAGGCATTGCTGGAGGAAAGAGAAAAGAGAAAAGAAGGGAGCCAACCATGTTGGTGCATACCTGTAACCTCAGCTACTCAGGAAGTTTAGGCAGCAGGATCTCAATGTGAAGGCCAACCTGAGGAACATAGTGAGACCTTGTTTCTTTCTTTCTTTTTTTTTTAAATCTTTTTCCCCTTATTATTATTATTTATACATTCAATCACTATACATCATTTGGATTTAAAGAGACTTTACCCAGCATGATATACATCTCAGTCCAGTTGAGAATATTATACACATCCTCATTAACAGATAACAAACTATATCTATGTCCCACAAATATCTTACCTCTCATTTTCCCCCCAAATTACCTTTCCTGAAATACCCTGTTTCTTTTCTTTCTTTTTTTTTTGTTTGTTTTTGAGAGAGGTTTTTGCTATAGGGCATGTGTGCTCCCCAGACAGACAGAGAGAGATAGAGAGACAGAAAACGAGAAATAGTCCCCCAGGGGGGATTGACCACGCTGCAATCTCTTCTCCATTTTCCTCTCGGGATCTTGGGCACTCATGCATACACATCTGGCGTGAGTTTTAAGCCACCAGGTCTAGGACTCCAACTGCAGTCCACTACATGGGAGTCCAGCGACATAGCCATTATGCAAACTGCTGGTCCCGAAAGAT